GAAATCATTCTTTATGCAACTTATGTGACTCTTCACATCTGTTTTATAAATTAGAACTAATTTATCTTAAGCTATTATTATTGCTTATCTGTCTGTAGATCAGTTTAGTTTAAAATTGACTATGCTTATATTACTTATTAAATTATTGAAAACTGCTGTTTTTGTTATCAGTGAAATTTAATTTGTTACAAGATTAAATTCATTGAATGGTGTTTAGAACGTTTTCACATTTCTTGGTATTAATCTATTTATATGAAATTTCGACAATAATCTTAAGTACTATAAAATCTGATTTACTTTAAAATAGTCCAAGTGACTACAATTAACGAACTTTGTTAGATACGTTATGTGTCTGTTTCAATCTATTTCACTTGTAAGTCTATAGTACAAAACAATCGAATGTTTCAACTACAATACTTGTAATAAAATGTTATGCAATTCATTATTGAATAGCACACAAAAAGAGCGACCAATGAAAGTACAATGCACGCTTTTGTCATAATTGGCTGAAAAGAAAATCTAGCAAAAAAACTTTGATTCACATCTCTTATGCAATAGAAGAAATAAAACTACACAATGCGTGTTATTGTACAATGAATAAAAATTGGTTAGCTCCGTAAATAATAGTGTAATACAGTTGAATTTTAAATAAATGATGGCACGTCGTTCGAGACGAACTAGTTCTACTGTATGGAAGTGAGACAACATAAGTACACACACTAAGTAAGGTCATTAAAGTGATACTTTAATGCTGTACTTACTTGTACTGCACTTTACTTGTAAGTATAATTTTGTCACTTGTAGTCAACACTTCGAACACTATTTTTTATTGTTTTCAAATAATGATAACATTTCAAATGATGATTTGATTTTCTTTTGATTCTTCTATTCTATTCTACAAAATGTTCTTGGAAATAATTGAAATAAACTTTTATCATAAGAAAAAATATAGAAAAAATATTCACATAGTTTATAACTTATGTACAGTGATGTAATAATAATGAACCTAATGAAATTTTAATAATTTAGGTAGGTATATAAATATTCAGAGTAGAGAATATTCTGAAATTGGCATGTAAGATAAATGATTAAAATTTCATTAGTTCTTCAACAGATTATTTTAAATGTACGCAGAATTCTCAGCGAACCGATCATTGTTGCAATTCCGTTTGCTAACAGCAGCCTAGTTCCGCAGTCCCGGTACTAAGTCCCTTTCTCTTCGGACCATCTGATAGATCCGACTATCGACTTTCTACCAGTAATGCGTACTGATTAATTAGAAACGATTAGTATCGAACTCTAAGATATTTACCTTGTCTTGCGAAAGTGATGTCTATTTGGTTACGTTTTGTTTCAAATTAACAAGATAATTACAATTGATCTGTATCGCTAAAAACGTTTACTTTTATTTCCTCTTTATCGCATATTCAGAATTACAGTTTGTCCATTCAAATGGATGACATTGAAATGTTATACCTCTTATTGGTTGTAAAACTTTATTAAGCAATTCATAATTGAAATATTTTAATGATTTTGTATTACTATTAGTAATTCACATTACTATAAATAACAAATATACCTTTATCGACCTTAAAGTCTAGAAATATAAATAACCTTTATTGAAAAAAACTTAATAATAATAAGCTCTTTCACAGTTAGTATACAAATTACATATATTTTATAATTTAGAACCATAAAATGTAAGATCCTGTCTATATTCATATGTATGTATATATGTTTATAGCGTTCTTATATTCATTTTATTGAAACTCTTTATTAACAAATTTTAATAATTTATATAGTATGCAGTCTTCATTACGCACAATTTTGTACATTTCAAGAATGTACAACACTTCATTGTAAACACATTAGATATGGTGTGGTATTAGAAGATATAATTTAGTTTTATGTACAACACTAATAGAAACGGTGAAGTTGCATCAATTATGCAACCCTTACCGTAACGTTTTATCACACGATGTAAAAAGCAAATGCGAATGAAAGGGACATAACTAGAAGTAGAACCTACCGAACTAGTATAGTCCGTTATTAAAACCTGATGCAGTAGTTCCAATCTACCATTTCATTTACAATGTTCCTGGAAAACTAATGATCGAAGATACTATACAGGAAATTATACTATATGATTTACATAATGCCTTTTACGGCCACTAGTACATTGGGGACCCTGAAAAAACTTCAAATTATATAGACATCGCTTAAGAGAGTATGAATATGACTAGGCATAATTCAGTTTCGGTGTTTTGTAATTCTTGGGCATTATTTTTTAGAAATTAGTATTGACTTGGAAAAGGTTCTCCATAAAACCCTTATAATATAAAGAGAAAGAAAGTCCATACTTTATTTAAATTTACTCTATTGCTTATTTAACGTACTTAAATCCTAATAAATGCATCTCAATGCTTAAGACAGATGTTTTATTGGCGTTATGAAAAGAGTTCCATTGCGTTATTCAATATTCCTAAACTAAGACTACTGTATCTACGTTAATTAGGCATTTCTCCAGTAATAATACATATGATAAATAATGTTAATTTACTGTTCATAAGTGATGCTGGATATATAATAAATACTACATTTGTCGCGAAATCACCTCTATATTTAGCCACATACTATAATTGGGTTAAATATAGAAGTAATTTGGCGACATAGCATTGTTGTGAATTATTTATAGTTATGGTCATCGTACCATTATAAATGTGAAAGTTTGTAAGGTGATCAAAGCTTCTACAAAAAGAATTGTAGGCACATCTACTGCATGTATTGCCTGCAGTAAGTATTTACTACCACGCATGGAAGGTACCACGACCTTCAGAAAGACGATGTATGGGGTGTTATTCATATGTATAGGTAACGATTGCCACTTCCTTCATCTTATTTGCCATTCGAGTTACAAAAAAAGTTATATTGCATTAGATTTTTTAGTAAAACGTACATTTTTCATTCCAGTATATTTGGTAATGTCGTTTTTATATCGACCTATAGGTATGTTTGTTATTCCAGTTAAATAAAATAACGTACACTCCTCAAGTTAAAGTGTTACTTAAAGGTTCTTCGTAAATTTGTCAATTATAATTTATAATACTTATTCTTCACGAACTTAAATAGCAATTGTATGTCTTGCCTTGCTTAATAATTCCTGTTTTCCGCGCCATAAGGTCTGATCTTACGACTGCAATATCTTCGTAACTGAAGTAATGGTTTCTTTTGGTGGGAACAGTTGTTGTGACATTTTCTCATAAAAAAATTGTGTTTTCAAACTCGTTTCAAAAAATGTTGAATACTTGAATGTTCCATATATTTTAAACAAGAAAGATAGTTAATATTTTCTATTCTACCGCTTATATGGAATGTAGATTAAGCCCTTAACAATGATAAAACCATTATTTGCTGAATCTGCTATATTAGTTTAAAAAATGTATAAATAATACACTCATAAAACGATTTTGGGATCGCGGCATTAGATAATTATATCTAATTGATTCTATTTTATTATTACGTCCTATTTTTTTTACTTAAGAAATTAATAAAGCATTGTGTAAGTTTTCTAGATTCAGTGTATTACAATAAATCAATCGAAACACTGGAATTTATAATACTTAACTACAATACGATAACTAATATTATCCCAAATTTTTTTTAGTGTATTTATGAGTTCTAAAAGCCAATTAGTGACAAAGCTAATCCCTTTTTTACAAAAGAACATCCGCCTTTAGAAAATGCTCGTTCATTACGTATGATAGATTGACTGTATAAGAGTGAAAGTCTAGTTTGTGAATAGCTTCCCCTCTAAACCAAGGTAAATTTGTTGCCTAAAAAAATTTACGGACATCCGACAGTGTGGCGACCACAATTCTGTTAATGATAGGAAAGTGCGGCCTTCTGGGTTTAATGTCTTTTTTGTACCTCGTGCTACATGGTTAAGAAACTTTTCTATGGTCAATGAAAAACTTGATAAACCTCATAACTTCTCATACTATATGAGAAAGTCCAAAATTTGTGAAATCAGTCAGTTCCCTTTGTTTATAAATGTGCAGACATAAATAGATAATAATAAAGTGCAACAGAATTTGACAAAATATTTACTTACAGTAACTGTTAGTAAAATATTTATTTTATGGGTGTACATAAAAATGTGAAGGATATTTAATGAATACATCTGTTCGTCTTCTGCTTATTGATATATCTGTTCGTCTTCCTATAAGAGAAGAATCAGTAGGATATGTGCAAATCAGAGTAAATGGAAAGTTAAAGATTGAACAATACTGAATTGAAAATTCTGTTGAAATGTCTAAATTTACAATTTGTTTATCTGAGATTGTTATATGGATATTGGTTACACAGATCGTGTTGTTGCTTTTCTTCAACACATTCAATTGCGGGAGATTTCTGTTAATATTCTTTAATGCACTATTAATCGTTTATGTACAATTTTATTTATTATTATTTCTATTGAATTATAATATCAATATAAAAAAAAAGAATATGTTTTTCTCATTTTCGTATTAAAAATTTGCTAATCGAGTTTCCAATTTTTAATACTTAAAAATAATTGTGAGTAACCCAATCAATTGTAAACACGATCTATTAGCATTTTCTGACGATCACTTAGCGGAACAGTTTGCGTTTTTATTATAAACTTAACTGGTGTCTATTTAATTAAGTTCGCTATAAATAATTCATATCAATTTAATGTGGGAATATCCATTTATGTTAAGGAATACACGGTAACCTTTCTAACGTTTCATTAGCGGAAAATTATGCGCGCTTGATTACCTATCCACAACTCCCCGCATCGGAAAAGCTTTATTACACCCGCCTATATTAGCCTGGGAGCACAACTCATACGTTCAATGTATGCAAACTAAAGAAATCTCAATTCACCGAGAAAATACGGCATAAGAAGACAGGAAAGTTGCGGCTATTAGACTGTAACCGATTAAGAAAAACAACGCTTAAGATAGTATTAAATCACTGACCTCTTTCTTGGTCTGTTCGTTGATTTTGACATGAGTCTGCTGTGGCTTGTCGCGTAGTGGCAGGTAACCCTCGCGGCTGTCGGCTGGATCCGCCACTGTGCTGTCCGTTAGCGTAGTGGACTCCACGGGCACAGTACTGGCAGTACCCGCGTCCGTTGACTTTGAGGCTTCAGCCGTACTCAACGTAGGCACAGTTTCCTTGGTATCTATCGTCATAGTTCCCACAGTTTCGTACGTGGATACAGTCTCTGTACTATCACTGTTGGTCGTCTCTGTATCTTGAATTGTCGGTGTCTCCGTTGTGCGCAAAATTGGCCGTATCGTGTAATGTTTGGTAGGTTTCATTGCAGGCACAGTTGTTGCTTTTGTGGTCGGCGCTGGAGTCTGTACTCTAGTCGTTTGTGGAGTTTTCGTTTCTATTGTCGTATCAACCGTAGTAGGTTTACGGGAAGGTTTTTTCGCTTTGGGCGGTACAGTCGCCGTCGCGGCAATAGTAGATTTAGTTTTCGTGGAAACTTTTCTCGCAAGTGTTGTAGAACGCTCCTCAGTGGTCGTTGGAGCGGGTGTATTATCCAGGGTGGTTTGGGTTTGAGGCGGAGTTCGGTCGGCGGGCGGATCAATGCTGGATTGTTTAGGGGTACGGGATGGTGGAAAGAAATAGTCCATGATGGATGGGGATCCGTTACGGTTTGTTGGTAGCCATGCAAAGGGGTTGAAGTCTATGAGCCGTGGGCGCGGCGGGTCGGCAGCAACGACGAGCAATAGGGCGGCGAGCGCGAAAAACGTGATCACTGGACGATTCATGGCGCGGCTTGCGCGTGTAGCCGCAGCAACGTTACGAGCGGGACTGCGCGAGCGCACAACTACATCGCGCTACCACTCACCTACTTCATCCGCCCTACGGAGCGCGATGCAAATGCAGATAGTGCAAATATCTCCACCATGCACTATTTGGTAAATTATCTATATAAAACTTGAATTATGCGTATTATTAGTCTCTTGAAATGACAGCAAACTTCTCCGTTTTATCAAAAACCTCACAGTGTTATTTAATACCCAACATATTTTTTCTTTTCGTTTAAGTTAAAGATTACAGTAGTAACATTGTTTTACTATTTAATTTTCTAGGAAATGACAGTAAACTTCTCCGTTTTATCAAATACCTCACAGTGTTATTTTTTTTCTTTTAGTTTATATTAACGACTACAGTAGTAAATAATGTACACGTTTATGGTTTTTATTAAAAGTAACACCTAAACGATAGTAAGGTTCTGTTATCCTTTTATGGGAATAGACCAGCGACCACGTGCCCAGCAGTGGAATGATAAAAGGTTGTTATATGTGTTGCTGTGACATTTCTATATTCCGTGATATACATAAATAAGAAATGTATAAAATAATTCACTCATTGAGTTAGCTTTACTAGATTTAATCATAATCCCGTTACGGCACGTATTGCGTCTGATTGTAACTAAGTGCATTTATTTAAATTTCCACGTAATTTTTCAATTCATATTTACCCTGTGGTTGTTTATGTACACCATAGTCCGCTATTCAATCATAGGTATAAATCGGAATTGAATCGTGTATTCTTGCACGTCTGTCGCCTGAAATTTATAAAGTATCGAAAACGACCACAGACCGTGTAATGTTGTGAACCGTATTGTACGCTCCATTTATTCTATAGCCATATTGATGTTTACTAAATGCTAATACCACGCATACGAACATGGGTAGGCACTTTAGAAAACATACAAACATGGGCCCGAATTACTATTTTAATAGAGGAACTGAGATTAAGTTAAGCATGATCCACACCTTTTTGTTTTGTTGGTCTTATAAGAATAGTAGCCATAGTATAGAATAGTAAGGACTACAATCGTGTTCGTAACTAATCAAATTTCCAAGAAGTACTTTCATAAATTAGTAAACAATATTCACATAAATTAAAATGGTATTACGCTACCATATTTTATAATTACAGAAATATAAAGCTCTCCATTTCATTTCAAGCCTCAAATGATAAATACGTTTACCTGGGTATCAATATCATAACATAATCTCGTTGTATAGTCTCTTACAATAGAACTTCCAAATTATTCAATAACAGTATAACTTATACATTTGTATCAAAACAATCAAGATAGTGTAAATCAACTCGTAATTGGTAAACTATAGAACAGTTTTCAATTGGCGACCTCTCGACCAACTTATTCAACCAACCACTAAATTTTCGCACTGTTTCAAATTCTTGTATAAAGAAGTCATTGTTAAAATTGTTCCAAAAAGATTATTAACAGGTACCTGCATTGTTTTCTCTTTTACAAATTTGAAGTATCAATTTTAAAGAATTTTTTCATAGAAATCCTACGTATGTACTGGGAAGACGATGCCTTCCAGGATAATTCTAAGAGCCTACTTCAGCAATAGCTTTACATAAGTATATAATATACATTACATGAACATCATCCAACGAAATGTATTCGCAGTTATCTTTATCTACAGTAATATTATAAATAGAAAATATTAATTTTTTGTATGTGCGTTATTTTGTTTACGTAAATGTAAAGGATACTTGTTCGGTCATATAATAAATAATGTTTCACATGTCGAACGCTACCCTATGAAATAACAGGCTGCAGTCTCCGTGGTCAGCGCTGCTTGATAAACTAGTCTACTATAATAGATATTAAATCACCCTTATCATACATACGTTAATTATAGATCAACTGTGTTTTTTGTTCCTTTTAACCATGAAAGTATAGTATTTAGATTTAATCCGTTTTACACGCAACAGCGCGCTTATCTATTACTTTGTTTCACACATAATAAATGCAACGGGTACATAGTAGCTGTCATCAACTAAACAAATGGGTTTAGTTAGCTCTTATTAACCAAATGATTTGCTACATTGTTTACAAAATGTTGACTTAATTGCGTGAGAACGCATTTGTTTTGTGCTCACGCATTTAAGAACATTGAATGTAAAATTAATAACAGCTTATCACATTTTTTACACAGCTGTTATGTTGTTTTGCGTAATTAATAGCGCAAAAGGGTAGTTTCATAATTGCATTAATTATATATAATACAGAATGGTTTAAAATGTGTATTAAATTATCCAAAAAAATCGCAATCTCTATTATCCTATGATATATGATCTACGATAGAAATGAAAACATACGTTTAATTTTTACAATATCGTAACTTCAGTTATTTATAGTTTGTTTTTGTAACGTCGCTTGCATGAAGGTGAGCACGAAACTACAGAAATGCAAAAAAGAATTACAAGCAATTTCCAGCCAACTTGACTGAAATGAGGTTAGAAATTCGGGTCGATATATGGTATTAAATTTATATTATATTCTTTCGATACTAGTTTTTCGATATAACTTAAAAACTTATTAAGATACATTACTTTTACCGTATACTCTACTTTTGCGTTGCATCAAACAGACATACTTACTTAGTAATTTCTTGAGTGACATATAAATCCTGGATGATAATTACTCACAAAGTTTATTAACATATTATGAAAAATTGTCTTTGTTTATATAGACATTTACTGGGTCATGAACATGCGATTATGCGTTATCGAGTAATATATCATTAGGAAAATTGACCGTGAAATAGATTTCGTAAATTATACTCATCCGTTCAATTATTTAAGATTGTACTTCAAAATTGTAACTATCTGTAGGCCTATAGATGAATTTCGATTGTAACCATGGATTCATCCGTCCTTCACAATCGAAATACTTTTTCTTAACGTTTTTACAATCTCGACATAAGATCGATCAGAAAAATTGACTGCCGTTCATCGTTCGATTTACCTAGATTTGATGACAAAAATTATTTAATATCACAACCCAGATGCTTTAACAATGCGTAGAACTTTTCATGCCCCAATATATTCAATTGCAATTTAAGATGATAGAAGATATTATGCAATTTTCTATTGCATAATCTATATACGACAAAAGACTATGTAAGACATAAAGCTATTTATAAAAATCTATCCCCGGCTTCTCACAGGTGTATATATGTATTATACATATAACCTTCCTCTTTAATGACTCTCTATATTGCTAAACTACATTAAAATCGAATAGTTTGAAAGATCTAAGCAAACGAACGGCTGCGGCGACTTCATTTTATAGTATGTAAAGAAGAAAAGTATATTCATTTTCTGTTATTTTAAAGTCTGTTTTTAGTGACTGTGTTTGGTCGTAGCTATCAAGTGTTTTCCAACTGTTGTTGCTGTTGTGTTTGGTGTGCTGGTTCCTATGTGGTAAACCACCAAGAAATCAGGTAGATATATATCTATTCAAATAAATTTTATAATCCATCACCATATCCAGTCGACACTAGAAACCTAGTTATAATGTAGAAAAATCTCATTAATAATATTATCACGGTAAATATCTTGATTATTAATGTAGTGTGTCATTGCACAACGAATTACTGCACTATAAGGAATCAGGGATAATTTCTTTATGAGACAATAAAAAGCTAGCTAGAAATTTTTATGATAACTTGTATACTCGTATATTGTTATTTTTATCAGCTATAATAATTTGAGTTTCAAAAACTGGCTACATCTTTTGTATAACCTCTTTGTATGTGCTAAAAGCACTTACAATTAAGCTATAAAACACATTAGGGCAGTAAGAAGAAGTTTCTGACTTAAATTTATTTTTATCTATTAGTCAGCTTAAAGTATGTAATGAGTTAATTCTCTTGAATGATCTGCCTTATCGGACAAATATATATATATATCAGTTCTTTTATCAGTAGCAATTATTCGATGAGTCTGGCGTTATATTGCTTTAAAGTATCGTCCACCTATTTAATGAGCAAATCCAGTGGTAATTAATATATCTACAATGTTATACGACATCGTTACGTGTGGATTAACGGAATGTTGTACTATTACTGTATCCTGTAATCTGATATCTAGATTTAGTACGTTTTATACAACGTTAAGTACTAAATATTGTTGATGGAACAAAGACAGTAATTAATTAGCACCTGAAACGTGTCAGGATCCGTATTATGTTCCGCACCAAATGATGAGTAGCTGATAATGATAATAAGTTCTCTGGCTATCCTGATCAAGTCGTTACGCTATATCTTCGCCAAATTACGCACCAACTTATATTAAATTTCATTCATATCCATTACACTATGAGATTCCCTAGAAACAAACAAATAGCTTAAAGAATGGTGACTCAACTAGCCAGAATAATAATATAAATATTTATTCTATAGGTTTATACTACCTACGGTGATGGAGTAAAATAATATCACGACTCTTTTTTCGTCTCTCTTCAATATTTTGTAAGAGTTGATGGGAAACAGTCCTCGAGCATTGTATACCGCTGGTAATAGTAATGGTAGAAGTAAATAGTAGGCTAAAGTCCTCTTCTTAAGGGGAGATTCGCGACCCGGAATAGACCAGTAGTTAATATGTTAATTAATTATTATGGTAAACAATATAAATTTACCATTATTGTCTTAATTGAGATTTGGTTTTATGGAAACAATATAAATTTTAATTGATATATACGACCGTTAGTACTGTGATCGAGTTGTCAGTAGTCGGCCAGTTTGTGACTTATCGTCCGACTGTCGCGCCACTTACGGTTGTTAACGGAATTTGTCGTTTTCTCCGGACACTGTTTAATGCCACTGAACACCGCGATTGCCATGGCCTTGGTGATAGGGCTGGCTGTCAAAACTTTTATGTTGTATCCAAATGCAATCGATAAATAATGAAATTTATTTGTAAGTATTTGTAAGCAATTAGGTTTTTGTAGGAAAATTGGCAAATTATAATA